GAAAATACAGCAAAAAGGTAAATAAATTAAGAAACTTGCAAGTGAGATGAGGTCGCAACCACAAAACCTGTGCATTTACACGCTTCTTCCTCACCACAGCCAGACCTGATTGACTCATATGTTGTGAATTCAATTCACTGGTAGAAGTATCTTTTCTATGTGGTCCAGGAGAGCTTATTTGAGCTTTGCCTTCCACCCTTTTGTATGTCAAGTTTCCAGTAGGTAATCCTCCAGGTGCATTCCGTGAAGTGGAGAAAAGACCACCAAAGTTCCTATCAGTGGATGAAGACCAAGGTTTTTTCCCAATTGGATCATCTGCTAGCATTCGAAGCTTCATTGAGTACCGGTCCCTAGCCCGGTATAGGTCTATTCTATGTCTCTCCACTGCACTTATGTCCTCTTTGATGTATTGCAGATCATGTTGCACCTAATGAAATGCACAAATCAGTAAATTGGCTATTAGTGTGTTATTTGGAGAAAGTGAACTGCAGCTATCCAAGACTTTAAAAGGACAACTTAGGCGCAATGACCCAAGTGAAGAACCACTTGTGTATAAAATATCTCGAATTGATTTAGGGAGAAGAAGCAGTGTTAATATGGATAACCAAATAGAATAGGGGAATTCAGCAAAAGGGACTCAAGCCTCAACTAACATAAGAATGCAAAGCCAAAATCTAGCATACTGCCATACCCTATTCTACCACGATATGTTTTTTTCTTCTCAACTTCAAATATCTGCTTTTTCCTTCTTGACTTTTTTCTCTAGGTGGTATTAAAACAATCACAAACCTCATTGAGTTCATCAACTTTTTGCTTCCTTAACATTTGTAAGAAGTCTAGCAGAATTTGCATATTTCGCTCTGCTTCTTCCTGCTCCAATTTCCTCTTTCTCTCTGACAACATCGACAATAGAGCATCCAGCTCCTTAACTGATACATCACAACCCTGTCTAAGCATAACAAGTGTCACATCTCAAGATTCCTTACAAAACTGATACTGAAAGTTAAAAACTTATGGGGTGCATGATTTGTTCCACACTGACCAATAAAAAGAACAAGGCAAAATAGCAAATAAAAATGTTATGTTTGATTCCAAATGCAGTGACATCAATGCAGAGCTCCACAATAAGTGATCTTTCAAGCAGTTGCATCAATCAATTTCATAGTTAAATTGAGGGCAAAAATATAATAATAAAGAGAAAAGGGACACTTGGTTATATGGTTAGGAAGTAAAACTGGAGGGGTAAGGAATGCCTCCATATTGGGTTTTTAACTCCTCCAGAATTGAACAGGAAGCATCTCTCAAACAACCCACCTTTGACCCATGGAGAAGAATCAGAACCACAAATGTACCTATAACACAAGCAACTATTTTATATGTCTAAATTACCATATGAAATTTAAATTCACAATTTCAAGACCATAATAGACAATAACTCAACAAACATATAAATCAGATCACCCAAACTTCGATCATAAGTTAAAGAGCAAACTTGAAAAGGAGGTCCTTCATAAAAAAAAATATTAAATTTAGTAGTGTCGAGAAGCAAACTTCAGCGACAAACTCCATAGTGACTTCACCTGGAGATTGAGAAAACAGACTCACCTGTTCCAATGAAAGACGAAATTGTTCAACAGGAGATGCAGTTTTTGAAATCTGACGAGCAGATGTCTTCTTCAGTAGCTACAAATGTGGTACAGAGAAACCTTTAACAATAAGCTGCATGGTGAAGTAAATCATTTCAAGATGTAACCATCTCATAGTTATGCTACATTAATATCACACAAAAACAGTTTATTAGATTGTAAAGAGATACAGATAGTTGAGAGTAAATAAAACTTAAACCTTACCTGTCAATAGGGAAAAGAAGCTCGAATGAAAAAAGAGGATGCATCATAAGATTATCAGATAGATTTAGATGACGAAAAGATCAACAAAGAAGGGACAAAAATAATTTGGACTCTAATATGAGTTCAACATCCTGACAGACGTATCGTCCTAATTTTTATCTTTGAGATTTGAGCAAACCATCTCTGAAGGCCGAGTTTTGTTGAGTCAGTTCCAAGGGAGATAACAACACATTTATGATTTAACTGCTTACTTGCTTACGATGTTTTTTCCTTTATTTTTTCTTTCTTGAAAGTGACAATTCTTTCACAAAAAAAATGTATCTTTACTAAATTAAAGTGACAACAGAAAAGCGGAAGACGTCCTTGCTAAATTTCTGATGTTAAGTTAATTTACTAGATATAATTGCAAGGACTACCCTAGACGTAAGCTTGCGAGATGGGTGAAACCTCCTTCTCATAAGTTCAAAGTAAATATTAATTAGTACTTTAAAAGAGGTCCTAGACGCTCGAAACCATTCCTAAAAGAATAGAGTGAATGAAAAACACAAAGAATTTGGAACGGCTAATTGATGATCATACACTTCGAACAATTTTTAAATTGACCTCAAATATAGAACGAACAAACCCTTAATTTGAAATAAATTCTAAATCATCGACCTCGCATTGAAAAAATGAGATTTCTCCTCTCCTATAAAGAAATCAAAAGATTTTTCCGTAAAATCTCGTCTAGCTATTAGAGAAAGCGCGTTGTATGATGAGAAGGCAAGATCATTCATATGTAATATAAAACAAGAGCTACTAGAATGGTGTCTCTGCTAGAAACCCTTCTAACCTTTTTTTTTATATAAGGTAAATAATTTTATTAATAATGGAGAATTTCCTGTAAACAAGTAGTGTACCAAAAAGTAAAGAATCTACACCATGATATGATTCCCTACAAACGACACACAATCTTGTATATATAGTGGAATTTCATGGATGCACCAGAATGAAACTAGGAATGAGAGGATATTCTTCAAATGTTGTCCTCTGTCTCTTCAAAAGCTCGTCTATTTCTCCTTCTTGGTACCTAGATGAGTGCTAATGGTGCAAACCCACACTCTTCGGCTTCTCTTCCTTCTTCTAAATATCAAACTAGAGAATGTCTGCTTCATTGTGCCCGACATCGCCAATTGTAGCCCGAACAATCTCAAAAGCTCACACTATAAGCAAGTTGCCACCTGACAATGCAGCAGGAGGTGGTCCACATCTTCACTTGAACATTTGCACATAAAGCACCAGCTGACATAAGTAATCCTTCTTTCTCCCAAATTCTTAACTGTTAGGATTGTTCCTCTTCCGGCAGCCCAGTTAAAAAGCTTACCTTTCTTGATGCCTATTCCTCCTTCACTAAGAGCTTATGATAAAATGACCTTATTGAGAACAATCTATCTCTTCCCACCTATTATCTCCATGGGTCCTAACTAGTGTTTGATGTACTTTGCTCGTAAAGCAATTCAATCAAGCCTTGGAATTCAGCTACTTCCTAATCCTGAAGGTTCCTCCATGCTGTTATATCCCAATGAACTCCCATCTCTTGTAGCCTCCGGATCTGACTATCATCTCCATCTGGATCAAGATACTGTAAATGTTCGGGAATGTGAATCTCAATGTCTCTTTCCCCCAGTGCATGTGACTCCAAAAGTTGATTCTGCACAAAATCCCCTACCCTGAAAGTTATTTATGTTGCCAATAAAGTCTTCCCATTCTTTAATAATATTCCTCCAAAGTGTGTACCTAAATGAACATGCGATATTTCTAGTCCTCCATCCACCTTCTACAATTCCATACATTTCTGCTATCACCTCCCTCTATAGTGCGTGCTTCTCAATTCCGAATCTCCATAACTATTTCCCTAATAATGTCTTGTTGAAAACTCGGAGACTTTCACCCCAAGATCCCCTCATTTCTTTGGAGAAGTAACATTCTCCCAGCTAACTAAGTGGAACTTCCTGTCACGCTCATTTCTGGACATCTCCCGGATACGTGATCAGATCGATTTCAGTATGCCGATTTAATTTGAAGAGGAAGAGGTTAAAAATCCTTATCTCGAGGCAGAGGAGAGAAAGTGGCAAAGGATGTGGATTCACTTTTTTTATTTGATTCATACCTGTGGTTCACCCCTAGTCACGTAAAGGGTGAGGTTGCCCAAGCAAGTCTAATATAGACTTACTAACTAGTTTTTACGTCTAAGTTTTTATTTTTATACCTAATCACAAATATGTTCATCCATAACATTTCCTTACCAATTAATATATCTCTTTAAAACTACATTTATTTTTTAATGCCACCCTCTTCAAGTTAACAACCATGGGCACTGAGAAGCGCATCTTAACACCTCTTACTTGTACTAAGCGTTGTCTAAGAAGGCAGAGCATCAAACTAGACCATACCTAGTTTCAGGCTTATAGCCAATAACTACAGTTGCTACAGACTGAGTTCTCTTTTTCCTTGCTTTTATGCTAGATAATTACCTTTGTACTTGAATATGTTTACAAAATATCAGTGCACGACCAGATTCTTAGCACAGAAGACATCAGTGGGTTTTGCATTCTAGAGCACAGTGAATGCATTTACTCATTTTTTCTGTTATTAGTCTCTTTTAAAGATATTGGACTGGGTAAAATGAAGCTTAAATAGTAAAATACTCAATTTTCATGGCAGAATTCAATATTCAACACTACATGACACTGCAGCACAAATATCGAACAACTAGAAACGAAAATTATTTGTATTTCTGTCACATAAAAAAACTGTAATTTATCTTTTCTTTAAACAACTGGGGCAATCCCTCAACTTTCATGGGCATGTACTTTATCTTTTCTTTGTATTTCTTTCACATAACAACAGGGTTAAGATAATTATAACAAAAACCCAAGAAAACCAGGATGCCGAAGCTGTTTATATCCGTACTGATCTAACTTTACTATGCACTTCAACACTATATACTTCATCAGCTCAGCTATTTAGATTCCAGTTTCCAATAATAAATACCAACACTATACTAAACAACAACAACTACTACTACTACTCTCATGTTGGCAAAATGATAATCCCTTCGTCCCATTTTATATGATATCTTTGCCTTTTCATTATGTTCCAAAAAGAATGATATATTTCTATATTTAAAAAACAATTTTAACTTTAAACTTCCAATTCACCCTTAATGAGATAATTTATAGCTGCAGAAATGTGTAAGGCTTGTTTTAGACCGCAAGTTTCNGGGGGGGGAAGTAATTGACATCCATTCCACTTTATTGGGCACATTTCCAACCAACATAACGCAAAATTTACAACAAAAGCTCAATAAATACAATTGCTAGGGAAAAAATTGACATTGACATTAAATTAAAACAAACCTTGTCTAGGAGGAAATTAGGGTAGAGTTGACTAGTGGTAAGATAATGAGAACAACAGGGACAATCACTCTTATTGTGAAGGTGAGTGATTATACACATATAGCAAAAACTATGGCCACAGGAAGTTAAAAATGCATCCTTTATAATCTGCATACAAATTGGGCATAATAATTCCCTATCCAATTCCCATTCTGTTTCACCTTCATCCCTTACACTACCACCCCCCTCCTCTTTAACCCCCACCCTCACTGACCCCTTCACTGCTGGTACCACTCCCCCAATCGAACTTTCCACCATAGTAAATTGGATATTCTAAAGTCAATTAACTACACCTCGATCTCAAACAAATTCGGATTTTTCAAGTAGAAAGATTTGTATTTTTTTTGGGAGGATTTTGTGGTGGGAGGGGGAGCAGGCCCACAGAGAAAAGTATTTGGGGAGTTTGTGGAACGTAAGTTGCCAACGTTTTGTCCTATCTTCTTCTTTTTTTCTTGTGTTTTTAACCGTTTTGAGTGAACGTTTAATTCATTGTATGTATTTTGCAAAAATAAACAAAATGTACTCACTCCATCCGTTTTGAGTAAACATTTGTTCATTGTATTTTGCAAAAATAAACAAAAATATTAGAAGCAGTGTGCTCATTCCGTTTAACTTTTGGCCGTGTTCGATGCAGACGAATCTTGAAATGAGTTTAATTTAAGTGACATGATCATGAATTCATTTTAGTTATTTGGATTGATGAGGTCATGTTATTGTTGTTGTTTGACTGCACATAAAATTTAAAAAGAAAAAAGATAAACTCTTAGCATATGCCCAAAATATTCTTAAAATTTGGATATTATTTCTATGGTTATAAAAGTATTTTATTAAGAGTAATAAGAAATTTAGAGTTAAAAAAATTATAAAAAGTACTACACTAAAAACTGTTATGGTAACAAAAGGAACTTAAGGAGTACTATATTAGACTACTAGTTCTAGCAATATAGGAATAATTTATAGTATTGGAGCGGGTGGATGAAATAGAGGTTTGCATATGATGTTCTATGTGATAAGAATGTGCCACCGAAATTTAAGGGTAAGTTCTATAGAACGGTGATCAGACCAACTACGTTGTGTGGGGCTTAATGTTGGCCAGTCAAGAATTCTCATGTATAAAAAATGAAGGTGGCAAAACTAAGGATGTTGAGATGGATATGCGGGCATACCAGAATAAGATTAGAAATGAAGATATTCGGGACAAGATAGGTGTGGCCTCGATGGATGACAAGATGCGAATGGTCCGGACATGTGAATAGGAGAGACACTGATTCCCCAATAAGGAGATGTGAGATATTGGCCTTAGTGGGTCTGAGAATAGGTAGAGATAAGCCGAAGAAGTATTGGGGAGTGATAATTAGGCAAGACATGGTACTGCTTTAGCTTATCAGGAATATGACCCTTAACAGGAGGGTGTAGAGGTCGAAAATTAGGATAGAAGATTAGCGGGAAGCCGTGAATTTTCAGTTTATATACAAGTAGGATTAGTATTGGTCTTGTACTTTCTTATTTTTAGATTTATGTTATTACCTGTTGTGCCATCTTGATGTTATTATTATCGATTGCTACTGCTTTTTTCTCCTTTCCTTGAGCCAAGGATCTATCGAAAACAGTCTCTCTATCTGCTCGGGATAGGGATAACATCTCTCCTTTCCTTGAGCCAAGGATCTATCGAAAACAGTCTCTCTATCTGCTCGGGATAGGGATAACATCTGCTACACACTACCCTCTTTAGACTCCACTTGTGAGAATATACTGAATTTTTTTTTATTTTTTTATTTTTTGTTATAGTATGACTTTTGTTGGAATGAGCTAAGAGACCTTGACGTAACAATACAGGGTTGTTACTTAAATGGCGCGATAATGTCCATAATTTATATAATCAACCTCAACTTTCTTGAGATTGCGGATAGTTGTTATTGTTGCAATGAGAAGTGGAAACCAAAATCGCAGTAAAACTAGAAAATCTCAGATCACATTGCCCCTTAACGCAAACTTTTATCGATACCACAGTAATTAGGATTGAGGCATAGTTGTTCATGAATTTTTATCAGACATGGACCAACCAACAGCTTTATAGGAATATACTGGGTAACATTGTTGAGATCCATATTCTGATGCAGTGCTGTTTTTCCATGAGAGCATCGTTTTTGTTTTCTGGACTTGCCAAATACAGTTTATGAAGCAATAATATTTCACCTCTCGTTACAGCATCATGACTTTAGAACCTTCTCGATAAGAATTGATGAATAGCAAGGTCATGGCAAGAATCTCAGTAAACAAGCACATACTCCTCAAAGAAGAATGTATATTTCAACTTTTATGCAGCAACCATTGCTGCATCAAGAACAACCTTCATTACAAGTGAGTCTCAGTATAGTGACAGATTCAAATGTTGCGGGGTTCAGTAGTATTAAAAAATTTGGGTCACAGCTCTCACCCAATATATGTGCAAATAACAAGTATAGGTTGAATTAGATGTACTTGATACCCACAACGTCTAAATCCGCTACTGCATGGTGACCTGTGCAAGATCAGCGTGAAAGATAAAAATCAACCATAGGTTGCCTTGAAATGAACAAGTAAACATGCTTAGAATTACACATCACTACATATTGCTTCTGCTTGCAACTAAATGAACACATGATGTGTAAAATCACAATTGTATTTATCTAAGAAAGATGTTGTCAGAGCAGCCATGGCGTTGGCTGGACGATTACAAAGCACAACCGCATCTGCTTGAGAGCCAAACTAGAGAAAGGGATCATATCTGAAACATATCCCAACAGGAAGCTAACAAGCTACCTCGCTATACAGAACGGGAATTGCAAGTTTTTCAACAGTGGGATAAGGTTTCATCATGCATGATTTTTCTCTTTAAACTTCAGAAAGTCATAGTTGAATAAGCACAAAATTCCTGGAGTAACAGAAAAAGATGTAATTGGTAACAGAGTCGAAAAAATCAGTTCAACGTATACGGAAAAGAAAAAGCCGTATGATGGAAGTAGAATACAAGAGAATATGTTGGAAGATTGTCTAAAGCTAACATGATAAAAGACATGCTTGAAAAATAAATTCAAATTTCAGAATAAAAAATTTGGCTTTTTAAACCTCCTCCGTACTCGGTGTGAATTTCAAAATGGGGCATTCCATCTTGCAAATGATGGGGATGGTTTACCACATTCCACTATTACTAATAATCAGTCAGGGCAACAAATGCAGAGGAGCCAGCCATTACATTCATTCAGCTAGAGCCAAGTCACTCTATCACAAGCCAGCTGTTCGCCACCGATGGATAAAATTCGGTACAAAGTACAAACCACAACATACTAAGTCTTAAACAGCAAAATCGTAGAGCTAGAACAATTGTCATTCCCCTAGACTTCTTTAGGTATCTTTTTATTTTTTCAGTTTAACCATCTGGTATCTGAAACCAACTGGTCCGACTAATCCAGATTTTCTGCTGCATAGGCCCCACTAAAGGTGGAAGCACTCTCCCTGCCAGGTGTTTCTCTATTCCCGGCTCAAATACGAGGGCATACAACCCATCACACTCCTTGGTGATGACTTCTTTATGTTTCCTTCACTCTATTGGTTCTTCACCTTGTAATTTCTCAACTTCAACTCACAATAATTTATTTCTTGGCAACAATATGTGTTGCCTCTCTAAATTCCAAGTTTCTAAGGAAAGGTGTATAACTTATAAGTATAACGGACCAGTCCGTCTACTCATAATAGTAAAACGCAAGAAACAAGTTATAAAGTCAAATGCAGCTACTCACTTGGCTGCTAAATCTTTGAGATGCCTCCACTCCTTCGATCTTCTTTCCCGGCAGCATGTATCCTCCTCGTTTATCACCATTGCTGCAAACTCGTGCTCATCCGATAATCCTGCACCAAGTCATAATACTACAAGAATATTTCTCAAAAAACAGAAGCAATCAATCAATCAACTTAGCCTCCATCCAAGTTAGTTCATATTAATCATCTTGTCCAATATGCTGTATTCAGACCCATTTTATCAGAAGAAAACGCACAGAGGGAAAAAAATGTTTCAGTATCATAGGGAAGAACATTTTACCAATTCAGTTTCATAATACAAAAGAAAGGTAAATTTTATAAATTAAAACAATAGTAATAATTATTATTAAAAAAAAAAAAACTCAGCATCAGATCCAACGTTCTATAGTAAAGATACATTCTTTTCTGATTTAGATAACATCATGACTCAGTAAATTAATCTATGCATAATTTTAAAACCCATTTGGTTATTAATTTCTCAACATCCACCACACATTGATACATTTTCCCCAAGTAACATAGAAAAAAGAGTTCTTTTTTTTTCATCAGAATCAACTTAGTTAACATAACTAAAAATACAAGGGGTAACATGGACATCATCAACGTCATCAGACGGAGGGAGCAAGTTCAAATCAAACGGTAGAGGCTGTTTACAAAATGACGACGAATCGCCGTCAATATTATCATCCACCACAGTCGATGACGAATCGCAACCACTGTAACACTCCACCGCCGGCGGAGTAATCCGGCGAGTAATTTCAACCCGCGAGTGCAAATCACGCACCCCGTTGGATGACTCCACCGTACTGCTCAGGCTACTGGAAGCCGGCCGGCTAAAATTTTCAAATTGGTTCTGCCCATACGGAGGCAAAACTGAAAAATTGGTTTTCGCTTTGGGTCCATGGAAGGCGCGTGCGGCATCATCGTAAGCGCGTGCAGCATCCTCCGCCGTGTCAAAGGTGCCAAGCCAGACCCGAGCTTTTTTAATCGGGTCTCGTATCTCGGCTGCGAACCGGCCCAACGGGCGTTTACGGACTCCCCGATAACGATTCGGGTCGGTTTTAGGGTGTCGAAAAGCTACGGATGTTGATCTATTTGTCTCAGAATTTTTCCGACGGGGCATGGTAGGGTGGGTGGGGGAGAAGAAGATGAGAAGCGAAATTGCGCATTGTGACTTCTTTTTGGTTTTTATTTTGTTTTTCTGAAAATGCTTTATTTGGTGGATACAGAATTATGAAGGATGATGCCAATAGTTTTTTTTTTTTGGTTGCTTATTTCAAAAATAAAAACAAAAATATTATTTGTTCATAAAAATTTGATCAATTTTTGGAAGAAAAAAAATCAAGTTCCAAGGGTTAAAAAATTTCTTCCACTCACAAAATTTTAACTTTTTTTTAAGTAAAATGTACATCCAAATACAACTTCAACTTCCAAAAATTATTTCCAACCCAACTTCAAAAATTTTATTTTTTAAATTTCAACCAAATCTATATCCAAACGACTATTAATACTCTCATAAAACTCATGCGTTAAAAAGGTAAGATAAATAATGATAAATATAACCTTTTCATATAATATCTTACATTATTAATTCATATATTACTATCTCTTTATTCAGTTGAGATTGATGCAAATTGCAACAAAAAACATCTTCATGAGTGAGAAATTAATCCAGACAAGAGACATGACCAGAACAATCAACGCCTTTTCTAAAATAAATATCGTGATGTAGGTATTTTATCTTTTTAAATCTAAACTTTATTTAGGTGATTAAATTAAAATTTCAAAATAAATCCATGAGTTCAAGTTTTCCAAAGAATGAAGTCATACTCTTAAACTAAAAATTCATTTTGTAATAATATACTTTGAGTACTTTCAAATTGTTATAAATAAAATTTTATTTAAGGTGAATGTCTATATTCTAGAGAGATTCTAGGGTTTGTTACTTGGTGGCTAAGTCACTTTCCCCCTATAAATAGAGGGTTCTATTCCATTGTAAATTATCCCAAAATCAATAAGAATTCTCTCTCCCTACTTTTTTCTGCAATACTCTTCTTCTTCTTTTATTGTTCATAACACTTATCAGCACGAGACTCTAACCAATTGAGTGGAAGCTTTGGGATTGAGCATAATAATTGTCAATTGTTCCCTTAACTTCCTTCATGATTAAATGCTGGATTTAAGGTATGTATTTTACCGTATTTTTCTCTTTTATTTTATAATCTGATTTTAAATACAAGCAAAGACAACAAATTTTGATTATAACTCTAATGGAGTTAGTAAGAAATTATAACCACTAAGTGGTAAAAATTCTATGTCTTGCCATGATCAAAGTCATGTATGACTGTGAGCACAAGAAGTGGAAACCCGTCTCATTGAATTTGCTTCATTTTCATTCTCTTAAGAAATGTGGTAGCAATATGTAATAAGTCTAAAAGAAGACAAAATTATTACTGTGAAGGTATCAATGGATGTGGACGTGAATAGACGAAATTATAATTATCATCATTATGGTAATGAGAATAATAAGGATTCTCAAAATAATCCTTCACTATGTGAAAGTAATGTTTGTCATCGATTTGACATGAGATTTTGTAAAGAACATATCAATGATTATGGTCCATTCATAACGTGAATGTGACAACATGTGATTTATGAATACATATTCATTTTTGGTAGAATATGAGTGTGCTAGTGGTATATACCACACTCACCTCAAGAAGGAGGTTTGAGAGGAAATACGAAAATAATGTCATTATTATGGCATAAATGGTCATTGGTCACGTACTTATTGTACGCCAAAATATTTTGGCATTGTGATTATAAAAAGACAATGATAATGCAAGAAATAGATTGCATATAATTTTGACCATAACCATGATGGTATAACTTTCTCTTTAAAAGAGATATTCACCATATGGATGTTGATGAATATGTGGTACTATAAAATTAATTGAGAACTCTGCAAGAGCCAATTATACTATTTTGGAGAAACGCAATTGATTACCAATAAGGTATTGTATTGTAGTAAGTCTCAAAGAAACTTATTCAGTTTCCAAAGTATACACGAAAATGGTTGATTATATTGAGATTATAAATGAAGGAAAGATTTAATATCTTCTATTACTACAACTTGTAGCGGGGTAATATGTATGTGAAAAGCTACCCGCTTTATTCTCCAATTTGTACTACATAAATAAAAGAATGCCACAATAAAGTAGAAGTTTGTTGATATAAAAACTCATATCATAATAAACTTGGAGGTTATTGATAATTGCACATGTCATGTGTAAACCTGGAGTTTATCAATATTGATAATTTATCTAGTTGGCATAATTGATTTAGCCATATCAATTAAGTATGATATGCAAAAATAAAAGAGAATTCACATTGGTAAATATAAAGAACTAGAAAGTTCTTTACGAATTCTCTTATGTTGCTTGTTCTTATTAATTAATAGACCAACTAAAATTGGGATTGAATCCCATGAATGTTGAAAATATCAAAGGTGAATATGGGCTCATTCACCTGTCATGTATACCACATAAGATGCATCTATGATATGGTTACATGTGCGATTATTATTAACCTGCAACTCGGCCGGTGTTTGTGAGGTAACTTGCTCAGTAATTTAATTTCGAGCATAATTTCCAGATTTTCTATTCAAGAAGTTCATCTTGATAAGTTAGTTTAGCAAAATAATTTATTGAGTGCATCCACTTAATAGCTAAACTATTGCTTATGAGAATCAGTTTGATATAGGTTATATATGAAAGTACATTACATTCTCTCCTCACAAGTGGTTTAGGGTCGGGAACCAAATAATTTCATCTTATTATTATTGATGTGCGGTGTATATTTTGATTAACACCATAATGCACAAAGATGGGTTCTCAAAGTTGAGGAAACAAGTTAGTTTTTCTAACATGAGTGGGAGATAAGATAAACAGTTGAGAAAAAGTTACGTGGAATGAATTATCATCTGTACATCTAGATCCTCGAATACGATAATATGAACTTGAAGTTCATAAAAAGATAATTCGTTTGCAATTTATTGCAAAGCATGCCAGACGCATTTGCTGACCCAAAGAAAGTAATTATATTCTCACTACAAATGCTCCTATTAAGTTCTAGAAGGACAAAGTCTATGGTACGCTTAAAGCGTTTAGACAGATCGATTTCAAATAACTTCTTGATAAAGAAGATGAGCAAATGATCATAATTAAGGAGGCAAGTGATCTAGAAGATCATATAACATAACACTTCATAAAATCTCATGAGAGGTTCAGGTACATGAATATATGAATGGAGAAATCTCTATGTTATGTCTATATGAAAATAAGGAGGTTAGAACCAATATAAAATGTTTGTCGACGACTTCTATGATAGCACTAAATATATATGGGGATCTTAAGTCTGAAGAAACAATTCGAATAGAATTGGTTTCATATGAAATACATGTAGTTTTGGACATGTAGTTCAAAAACTTGAAAGTATAAAGTCAATGGTGTGTGCAATCACCTTTATCTATCTTATATGTCTATGCATGACATAAAAACTTGATATGTATCTAAAGTCTATTTATATGGCTTATTTGACTATACTTATATGATAATCCCTGAAGGATTTAAATTGCTTAAAGCATATACAATTCTTGATCTTGAAGTACCACATCCTCAATGCAATTTATGCACAAATGTATTTTCATATAACTATAAGCATGATAATGTGATAGAGAGAATACATCTATGGAGATATTGAAGAGTCATTCCACGATATTTATGAAGACATTATATATCTATCACGAATGATGATTTCAAGGTGTAAAATATTCATTCAAGTTAATATGGCTGGTTTATTTATCAAATCTCTATCAACGATCTCTTGAAGATGGTGCACAAGATTAGAATGTGATGGCTTAAGAATGTGAATTGATGTTCTCATCAGGGGGAGTTAGTGCGCGTTGTACTCTTTTTCCCTTACAAGGTTTTGTCCCAATGAGTTTTTCCTTGCAAGGTTTTTAATGAGGCAACCAAAAGACGTATTGTTAGATATGTGTACTCTTTTTCCTTCTCTAGATTTTTTTTCTCACTGGGTTTTATTTTAGTTAAGTTTTTAACGAGGCACATTATCTGTTGAATAGACATTCAAGGGGGAGTGTTATAAATAGAATTCTATTTAAGGTGAATGTCTATATTCTAGAGAGATTCTAGGGTTTGTTACTTGATGGCTAAGTCGCTTTCTCCCTATAAATAGAGGGGTTCTATTCCATTGTAAATTATCCCAAAAATCAATAAGAATCCTCTCTCCCTACTTTTCTCTACAATACTCTTCTTCTTCTTTTATTGTTCATAACACAAATACTGAATTTCTATATTTGTATATATACTTGTGGTACAACAACAACTACTATGCCTTAGTCTCCAGCAAGTTGGGGTTGACGTAATAAATTTTTTGTGGTGATTTGTAAATATTGAAGCTCGGTATTTGAATATCAAGCTAAATATTAAAACAATAATATAAAGGTATATTCTATTGATTTCTACTTGCAAATTTTCAAATTTTATAAACTTCTTTTCTAAATGAAATTAATGTTCAAATGCAATTCAACTTCCACAAACCCTTCTTCAATTTTAATTTCTACTATACCAAATGAAGATTATTTTTTTTATCTAATTGTTCATTCCTGGGAAGAGAAAGAAGCAGATAGAGCAAGGGCCGCTACAATTGCTTTAGCGCTAGGTCTCTCGAGCCTTGCCTTTTTGCATGTCTCCTGAAGAAGATTAAGAGCTGAAAGCGAATTCCCAATTATCTGACACTGGATCAGTAGAAAAACCTTTGTCATTACAATAGGAAATAGATGCGAAGTTGTTCATTTATCCTAATTTCTACTATATCAAATGCCTACAAAGTGTACAAATCATTTTCACAGTACTTCCTTCATAGAACAATCTCTAAGGGAATTCCAAATCATGAAATGAAACCTATTTCTTGAAGTTATTAGCATGTTTTATGATGTAACTTGCCTAGACATAAGAGTTACAGGATCCTTCAAACAGCTTGGGGTTGCCCAGCTTATGGCTTTAGACTTGTATTAAGCACTTTTTTACTTGTTTTAAGCACTTTTAAGAAGGTGTTTGACTAAGCTTATAAGTACTTTTTGACTTATTTATGCGTTTGGTAAAATTAAAAATGCTTATAAGTTAAGTGCTTATAAGCCAAAAATAAGCCAAAAGCCATAAGTTGGTCTCCCCCAACTAATCAAATTTCAGCTTATAAACACTTTAAGTTCGACCAAAATATTTACTATTCTATCCCTAAAATACTTCTTTTTAAAACAAAACTCTTTGTATACCCAGTTCTTCAACGACTTATTATTAATTTCAGTACTTTTATCCAAATACATAACTGCTTATTTTTTAAATCGGCTTCAGCACTTAAAAGTGTTTTTCAGCACCTAATACTTATCAGCTATTCTAAATCAGCTAAGCCAAACGGGCTCTAAGTTGTCAAATGCTAAAAAAAAAAGAAGCTAAAAAGAGCTTAAAAGCCAATCCAAACACGCTCTAAGCCACAATAGAACTTCTTCATCCGATAGGTGTTGCAATGAAACTTCTAATACATTTCTGGTAACTTAGACTGACACAAAGAATAAACAATCTGCAAAGACTAGATTTCAGGAATGGTACTACTCCGACTTCTACACTGAGAAACCGTCTACTTTTGACAAGAATTGCATGTCGACTTGGTTTATTCATCCTGCCTTTGGCTAAGGAAAACAATTACAAATGGAAATAGCTAGTAATAGGTACTAATTGTGTTACTTCCAACGTTCAACTTGTCAATATCAAAGGGACTTCTTGAGAATCATTACATATTCAAGCTGTTACTAAAATCAACAATCAAAACTTGTGTAGTAAGTTCATTTCTCTACTTGCCTGGTGGACTAAGGAGTTGAGACAACTATTCTCCCGAAATTTCTCTCTATTCGCACTTCTAGAGCATCATTACCATAACTCTGCTGCTCCTCTTGAATCTCTTTAGCTGAAAGCAAAGCGGATTGGCTTGAATTTTCTAGCTCGATTATCTGCAAAGTAGGAATATCCCCCAACTCGTGTGGGATGCTGTCCAAGTGAAGGCAACCCTTTAGAACAAGATGTTCCAGGCACGGAAAATGATCATTTGAGGCGCTCCAATGCTCTAAATCAGACATCTCGATCAACAACAGTTTTAAAGAACAGAACCCCTCTTCAACTTGTTCCCACTTTGGTCCTGTGAAGGCATAATTTTTTAGTTTGAGTACCTCAAGATTTGGCAATCTACAAAGAGAGGTCATACTCTCCCACGGCAAGTACGTGAAGCTCAAAGTCAATTTCTTAAGATTCTCTGGAAGTGCATCAAGATGACGAGCTAATTTTAGTTCTTGTACAGGTGGTTTCAACCCAAAAATCTTTAATGCCTCGAGTTGAGGCAGGAGAGCAAGATTTCTAAAGCAATCCGACCACAAGTCTGAAATTGTCTCGCTACCATAAGGCCACAGTTTTTCAGATGTGTAAAGAAAATCACTCCAGGGAATTTGGACTGGGTAGGTATACTCGATCGATTCACATATTCCCAGTTTCTTCAATTTAGGAGTGCTTGAGAAGACATCCTTTGTACAATCTGCAAGGGTAATATTGACAAGTGTTTGTAGGTTATTTAGAACCAAGGAACTGTATCTATTACATTCTACTTTGGTTGGGCTCGGCAAACAGATGCTTGGTTTAACATGGAGATGTCTGAGGTTTGGCATCGTCCAAATCTCCCAAGGCAAAGTTGAGCTTCTAGAATACAGATGAAGGATTAAAGTCTGCAAACTCCAAAACTGTGATACTAGTGGAGGGAATTCGCTACCAGTGGCAACTGCAAGGTAACGCAAATTAACAAGTTGCAATATCTCACTGGGAAACTGAGGGAAATGTTGGAAAGTGATATCTAGAACCCTGAGCAATTTGAAGTCTATGTATGAAAAAATTGAACTTTCCGAAATATTGAATCCCAAGATGGAACGAGAAACAGAAGCGGTAGAATCCGTTGGTTGAATAGAGTAACTTGAGAAGATGGTGCTACAATTGATACTAAACCGACGTAGAGCTGTTATGCTTTCTGATAGAACATCAAGGGAATGCTTCAAGACATGTAGAAAGTTTTGTCTTTTAGCTTCTTCTAAGCAAAAATCTCGCATGATATCATGGACTTTACATGTTTTGAGTTTTCCATTAGACCGCTTTCCAGCTAAAACTAAACTTCTATCAATAAGATCCTCCAAACACTCCTCTGCTATATCTTCCACGGTCGTATGTCCTGTTGCATTAAGGAAGCCCTCAGCAACCCACAACCTAATTAGCTTCCACACGGGAATCTCAAAATCTTCAGGAAATGCTCCCATGTACAAGAAGCAGGCTTTTAAATGTTGAGGCAAGTAGTTGTAACTTAGAGCAAGTATGTCTAAACACTGCCCTGGCTCACGATTTACAACGGAGCCCACACTTTCAGCAACAGTGTTCCAGCTATCCGGAGTCTTGCTCATTTTGGAGAGATGCCCTGCAACCACAACAATTGCTAGAGGTAGTCCTTGGCATTTTTCTGCAATACTTTTCCCAATCACTTCCAACTCAAAAGGGCATCCTCTTTTCCCGAAAAGTTTCTCACGGAGTAGCTCCCAACCTTCATCTTTGTTTAGAAAACTCAGTCGGTGAGGTTGCCTATCTGGATTAGCATTAGCATAAGTTGCGACATCAATGAGCCTACTTGTTAGTATGACACGACTTTTATTGTTATCATCAGGAAGCAACATGCTCACATTGTCCCAGGCATCAGTGCTCCACATGTCATCGACAACAATGAGAAATCTCTTACCCTTTAAACTTTTGTGCAATCGGTCAGCCATTTCTTGGTTTCTACCTTCGTACGTTTCTTTTGAAGGTTGAGTCATTAGCCTACCATACAGTTGATCAGCAGCTTCTTTGTCGCTCTCTTGATTGGATCCATTGGCTGGAGGAACAACTGAATAAAAGAGGTCAAGTAATGTGTCCCTTTCTCTATACTCTTGAGAAATAGTGGTCCAAGCACGAACATCAAACCGGTAAACAACAGAAGGATGATTATATGCTCTTTTCGCAAGAGTTGTTTTACCAATACCAGCCATCCCAACTATAGTGATAATATCTAGTTCAGAAGAATCACCTCTGAGCCTATCAATTATTTTCTCCAAGTCGTCCTGGAAACCAACCGGTGTTTGTTGTTGCAAATTTGGACTACTAGTTGATACATCCCTCCTAGCCGGCGGTGAAGCTCGTGTATGAAAATTCCAAGTCCTAATCTTGTCACCCTTAATTGTCCTTGCTTCTTTTTTGATCAATTCCATTTCTTCAATTGCTACCTGCAACCTCCTACATAGAACTGAGTAGGCCTTTTTTCGGTCCTTTGCATTTTTGGCCAAAAAATATTTTCTCAACTTTGAGTCAACAATATCTTCAACTTGATATGTTTTCTCTTTGATCTTTCCTTCCAATAATTTTAGCCCTACATGCTTATGCATTAGCTTTTCATAATCCACCAAGAACTCTTGAAAAGATAAAATTCTTTTGCATAGTGATAAGATTTGTTCTTTCCTCTGAAGATTATTCAGTAATGGATGATTGCATTGCAGGAACAGCTCGAGTGAGCATACAGCAGAAGTCAGAGCAGCATAAGCCATTTCTTCGTCCTCTGAAAATTACATTAAACAAACTATCAGTCTACCACTGCTTTACAAAAACAATTAGATCTCAGAAGAGACGGAGCCAAGATTTGAAGTTTATGAGTTTTAAATTTGCCAAATAACCTAAACATGTCTTAGTTACTGGTTCGCAATTAAATATTTATACATAAACCTAATACAATCAAACATCTCTATAACAGCCTCGTTTGTTCCGATATTTTTTGGCTGCTATAGTGAAGTGCTATTATATATTATAACATAATATAAAAATCGGTTCCGAGAAAAACTTGTCTTTTATAGTGAATGGTTGTTATATAGGGATGCTGTTATAGAAAAGCTACTGGTACGTTGTAGAAAGAATGGATGTGGGGTCCAGTAGTTAACTTAATACATTGTAATTAGGTGTGATTAGTTGATATAGTTAGTTAGTTAATTAGTTGATATAAATAGGGAGGTGGTTATACGTGTACAGTAGATTTCCTAGATTCAGTTTTTGATATTTTTCTAGGACACAGAAAATGGAGCTTCTTCTTCTCCACAGACTTTCTCTCCTCTTCTGCCATGGCTGATCTATTCAACATAGTATCAGAGCTAGCAGGCGAGATCAATTAGCTCAACATCATCGGAAGAGGAATCTCACTAAGATCATCTCAATTGTTGATTGTTACCTTTTACTCTGTTTCCTTGCCACTTCTAGCAAACTCCCTGCAATTAGGGCTTGTTCGACGGCGTCAATTTCTGGTGCAATTTTGTGAGCTGTGACTAATCGGCTCAGTTAGTGTGGTGCGACTCAATCGATATCGATTACAATGGTTAATGACGACGTAATCTCTACTTCCTCAGCTCCTCAGGTTCCGACGGAAACTCCAATGTTGAACGTTCAACATCCAGAGCGGGTACATCACAATCATCCTTTGTATATCCATCCTTCAGATACACAAGGTTCTGTTCTCATCTCAGTTCAACTTCAAGGTTCTGAAAATTATTCGATTTGGAGTCGGTCGATGAAGATTATTTTGCATGGTAAAAACAAACTAGGCTTTGTTTTAGGAACATGTAGAAAAGAAATGTATGATCCTAGTCTGCATGAACTCTGGGACAGATGTAATGCCATTGTCTTGGATTGGATAATGAACACATTGTCTCAAAGTCTTATTAGTACTATGATTTATGCTTCTGATGCACATAAAGTGTGGGAAGACCTCAAAGAGAGGTTTGATAAAGTAAATGCCTCCAGAGCTTGTTATTTGCACAAAGAAATTGCTGCACTCTGCGTATTTCTCGAAACTTAGGGAACTATGGGATAAGTATGAGACACTTACTCCTCCTCCTTCATGTGGATGCCCAGAGTCTGTTAAACATGCTGAGCATTATCAGTTGCAAAAGCTATATAAGTTTTTAACTGGTCTTAATGATTCTTATGAGAATGCAAATGATCAAATTCTTATGACAAGGCCATTACCAAATATAAACCAGACATATGCTATGATAGTGAATGTAGAAAGTCAAAGGAAGAATGGCAACTGTGGGATCAATACTAGTGTTGGTATTGATGGCAATGATGCTACTGCTCTATTAAGCAGCAGAGGAAATAACAATCGTAACAACACTGGTGGTGGTAACACTAGTTACAAAACTAGAAACAATTACAACTGTAGAAGGCCTGCACTTCAGTGTGACTACTGCAAGCTCAAAGGTCACACAAGGGACAGCTGCTACAAGTTGCATGGATATCCAGCTGACTTCAAATACAGAAAGAAGGGAGGGACACCTAATACTTATGCTAACAATGTGTGTAGTGCAGGAAATCAGGTGTCTGAAGCTCAAGGCTCATCTCAGCAAGCAGCATCTATCTCTACACCACCAGCTCCAGCTCAGTTCTTCACTTCAGAACAATACAATCAAATTCTGCAAATGTTGAACAAAGGGAAAGAAGGAAAGCCTATGGCTAATGCAGCTCAGATAGGAACAGCAGGTATTCCTACTGCTCTAATGTCTAATCTAGTTGATCATAACTGGATAGTAGACACAGGGCAACAAACCATATGGTACACAAGCTAAGTTTGCTTCACAAATTCAAAGAACTGCCACAAATGGGTAAGAATAAGGTCCATTTACCTACTGGGGAACAAGTTACTATCACTAAGACATGAGAGTCTCATATATTTCGGGACAAAACAATTGGAGAACTACTATATATACCTGAATTCAAATACAACCTATTATCAGTATCAAAGATCACCAAGGAGTTACAGTGTTGTGCAGCATTCTTTCCTGATTTCTGTTTATTTCAGGAACTCTCAAGTGGGAAGGTGATAGGGATTGGTAGAGAAGAGGATGGCCTTTACATTCTGAGGACAGAGGTAACCCAAGTCCACAGCTGGTCTTTGACAACAGGAATGCGACCAATCATTCATCTGTAAATACCATTTCCAGTTCAACTAGTGACAGTGAAATAGTTCCAAGAATAAGACTAAGACTGATGATATATCTCTTTGGCAAAGAAGACCAGGGCATGCTCCCTTAAGAGGTTGAAAAACATCGAAGGCTTTTGTAACTCTCAGCTGAAGAATCACATATGCTTTGTATGTCCTATTGCTAAACAAGCAAGACTGCTCTTTCTTGTAAGCACTACTTGTTCTGTTAATCATTTTGACCTTGTGCATGCTGATGTATGGGGTCCTTATAGAGTTCCCACTCATGATGGTAAAAGATATTTTTTGACTCTAGTAGATGATTTCTCTAGATATACATGGATCTTCCTAATGCCTACTAAAGCAGATTCTATTGTGGTGTTAAGGAACTTCCTAATATATGTCAAAACTCAATTTGCTTGTGGTGTAAAATGTCTTAGAACATATAATGGTTCAGAATTCTTCAATGATTAGGTGAACAATTTACTAAAGGAGTATGGTATTGTACATCAAAGCTCGTGTGTATACACCACGACAAAATGGTATTGTAGAAAGGAGATACAGATATATTCTAGACATGGCAAGAGCATTAAGGTTTCAGGCATTTGTGCCTTTGAGATTTTGGGGAGAATGTGTGTCCATAGCTGTATAATTACTCAATAGACTGCCCACTGTGTTGTTGGAAGCTCAGTCACCTTTCTAGAAGTTGTTTCACAGAGTTCCCTCACTACAACATCTCAGGGTGTTTGGTAGTCTTAGCTATGCTACTACTGTAAAGAAAGGTGACAAGTTTAGTCCAAGAGCAATCCCAGCTGTTCATCTTGGATATTCAACTACTTAGAAGGGTTATTATCTCTATGATCTAACCTCCAAGGAGTTCTTTGTAAGCAGAGACACTGTCTTTCAAGAAGACATTTTCCTATTCAAGAATATGAGCATTGGTCCTTCTCCTATGTTCCCAGTACTGCAACTGGTTGAACCTGATCCACCTGTTGTATTTGCACTATTACATTCACCTTCCAACGCAACTCCTGACACTAACACCTCACAGCCTTCCCTATCTCCTATTATCAGAGATCCTTCTCCACAGCCAGTACAACTCAGAAGATCTTCAAGGGAATCTAGACCACATGTCTGGATGGGAGACTATGTTGTCCAACAGAAATCTTCTTGTCTATATCCACTATCCAACTATGTGGTGTATGATCACCTTACTCCAGCCTACAGGTCTTCATTAGCTGCTTATTCAGCAATTGTAGAACCCAGGACCTATGTAGAAGCCGGTACCAATCCAGTATGGGTGGCTGCTATGAAGTCTGAGATTTCAGCTCTTGAGAGCAATAATACTTGGACAATTGTAGACCTTCCTCCAGACAAGGTTCCTATAGGATGCAAATGGGTGTTTAAGGTCAAATATAAATCCACAGGAGAGGTGGAAAGATATAAAGCAAGGCGTGTAGCCAAAGGCTACAGTCAGCAAGAAGGTTTGGGTTATACTGAAACCTTCTCACCTGTAGCTAAGATGGTCACAGTGAGGTCTGTAGTAGCTCTTGTTGCTGCTTCACACTGGTTTGTTTTCCAAATGGATGTTCATAATGTATTTCTTCAGGATGAGGGTGATCTACATGAAGAAATTTATATGAACATTCCTGATGGCTTTTCAAGCCAGGGGGAGTGTCAGAAGGTGTGCACGTTGAATAAATCTTTCTATGGACTTAAACAAGCCCCTAAACAATGGAACTTAAAACTGACAGAAACTTTGACAGATCTAGGATATGTACAATCACACTATGACTATTCTTTGTTCAAACACAGGAAGGGAGCAGATTTGGTGATTGTGCTTGTCTATGTAGATGATTTGTTAGTTATTGAAAATAATCTAAACCTGATTGAGAAGGATAGAAAGGATCTGCAGAGTAGGGATGGGCATATATCGGGTATAGCTGATAGCCCGAACCGATAAAATGCTATTGGGTTATCGATATCGTGTTATTGGGTAAATAGTTCGATAACGGTTTAATGTTATTTGACTATTGAGTTATCGGTTCGGGTCTCGGTTTGCCCAATTTATTAATGGCTTAACCGATAGCCCAATAAGCTTTAACAAAATTATAATTTTACCTACTAAGTATATAAAGCCACCTTATGGCTTCATTCTCTCAATTCTCCCAGCAATTACTCTTCATCTTCAGACCTTTATGTCATGACCCGCCATATCATCATGCCACGTAGGTGCCACTTGGCATATATTTTTTCCATATGGAAGGGCTACATAAGTTAGGGAAAAGATCTTGGTGGAATATTCTAGAACTATGGAGAATTTCCTTAGAAAAGTTCTAGATATTTATGCATTTGTAGAATATTCTAGAGAAGAGACTTAGTTGTAAATATGGAAGGACTTGTAGAACAATTATTATTTACATACTAGCCCCTAGGTGATTAGTATAAATAGGGGGCATTCATTTGTAATTCATCAATCAAGCAAAACAATCAAGTTCTCTCTAATACAAAAGCTTCCTTTGGCAATTCTGATGTGTTCTAACATTTCTTAGCGATCATGAGTGTAGTAGGGCTGACTTGGCATAGCAAGAACGTGAGCAAGTTATGCAAGATCGTGAGCGAGTTGCCAAGTGCCGCACATGCACTTAGTTTAAGACTAAGGACGTGACATTTATCCATAGAGTAAGTTTTAAACTTTTCTGAATTTCTCATCTTAATTCTTCATTTAAGATTTTTAGTTTTAAACTTTAAAACTAATCGATAGTGTCTCTTGTTGCCTCTTTGAGCCGAGGGTCTCCTGGAAACAGCCTTTCTGCCCCCTCGGGGTAGAGGTAAGGTCTGCGTACATATTACCCTCCCCAGACCCCACTTGTGGGATTACACTGGGTTGTTGTTGTAGTTTTAAACTTTAAAGAATTAATTGTTCAAATTTTTAGTTTTTTTATTTGTTTCTTTTGTCTTTTTGTTTTCTTGAGCCGAGGGTCTTTCGGAAACAGTCTCTCTACTCCTTCGGGGTAAGAGTAAGGTCTGCGTACACACTACCCTCCCAGACCCCAGTAGTGGGATTTTACTGGGTTGTTGTTGTTGTTGTTGTCGTCTTTTGTTGCACTCATTCCTTAGTATTTACAATATTAGGATTTTATTATTTTTCTGTGAATTATGCCCGCCCGCAGTGAGATACTAGTTAGTAAGATAGATTGTTAAATGTCTTATTCCTTACTCTTACTAACTTATAACTTTGAAAATTGAGATCATTCATTGAGATTTTCAAATGTAAAGAAAGTTTTCTTTTCTAAAAATGAAATTTAATCCCTCTTTTTTTAAGAGCAAAAATTGAATTCCTTTTTCTTAACAGTGTGATCACGATTTCTATTAAAAAATATGAAAATTTTGGATATTTTTTATTTTTATCGAGTAAACCGATAACCGAACCAGTAAGGTTCGATAACTGACTAACCGATACCCGATAACCGATAACCGATAACCGATATCTTATCGGTTCGGTTATCGGTTTAGCATATTTATAAACCGATAAACGATATGACGAACCGATAACATTCACAACCGAACCGAACAGACCGATACCCACCCCTACTGCAGAGTAGGTTTAAGATGAAAGACTTATTCCTTGGCATAGAGTCTTCAAGATCAGAGAAAGGCATTCATATGTGCCAAAGGAAGTATGCCCTTGAGTTGTTATCTGAGACTGGCCTATCAGGAGGAAAACCAGTACTCACTCCACTAGAATTCAATCACAAACTTACCACTATAGAATTTGATAAGGTGTTCAACAAAGAGAGCTTGTCTGATGACAGACTACTTGAAGACAGAAGTGGTTATCAAAGAATAGTGGGAAGGTTGCTGTAGTTGACTATGACTAGACCTGACATAGCCTTTGTAATACAGGTTCTAAGTCAATTCATGCATGCTCCTAAGCAATCACGTTTAGATGCTACTATGAGAGTGATCAGGTATATTAAAGTTGGTTGCCCTTTGTGACTCAGACTGGGGTGCATGTGTGGAAACAAGAAAGTCAGTCACAGGTTATGCTGTGAAGTTTGGTGATGCTTTGATTTCCTGGAAATCAAAGAAGCAAGGAATAGTTTCAAGAAGCTCAGCTAGGGCAGAGTTCAGAAGCATGGCCACTATTGTTGTAGAGATAAAATGGTTAGTTGGGCTGTTTGAGGAGGTGGGAACAGCAGTTGAACTTCCAGTTCAACTTTACTGTGACAATAAAGCTGCAATTCAAATCGCAGCTCATCCTATATTTCATGAAAGAACCAAATACATAGACATCAACTGCCACTTTGTAAGAGAAAAAATTCAAGAGGGAATGATCAAGACTCAGCATATTGGTACAAGAGAACAACTGGCAGACCTCTTCACCAAGAGTCTATGCAGTCCACAACATGATTACTTAGTATGCAAGCTGGGAATAAAAAGCCTGTTTTCATCCTTCAGCTTGAGGAGGAGTGTAGAAAGAATGGATGTGTGGTCCAGTAGTTAACTTAATACATTTTAATTAGGTGTGATTAGTTGATATAGTTAGTTAGTTAATTAGTTGATATAAATAGGGAGGTGGTTATAGTAGATTTCCTAGATTCAGATTTTGATATTTTTCTAGTACACAGAAAATGGAGCTTCTTCTTCTCCACCGACTTTCTCTCCTCTTCTGCCATGGCTGATCTATTCAACATACGTCACACTCTAGCTATGAGTTGAGGTGGACTATATGAATTCTAAGAGACCAAGTTACTTCATATCATCTTAAACATGAGTTTATAACCTTGAATAAAAAGATAATTAACATACTAATACAACTTATAATGTCAAAAATCGTCTAAAAAGTTACAAAAATTAAATACAGCAACATTATTAGAAAACTATAAAATTGATTATTGGGAAAGTGGAGACCTGATAGTAGTGGCGGCTGTGGGGCGAAGAACAAGAATAAGGAAGAAGACAGAGTAGATCCTTCAATCAAAGTTTCATTTGCGAGGTGGGCGTTGACCGTTCAGTGACTATTTTGGATGAAACTGTCCTTGAATCGGGTAAAATTATAGTACTTGTCTAGAAACTAAAGGTGGCTAGTACAAGTTTTGTTGTTAATATAATAATTTCTCAACTAATAGACAAAAAATTTAGAGAAAACGTTACACCCACTGTCACTTTATGGTGGAAACTATATTCACAGTTTACAATGTATTTAAAGATTAGCCAATATCGCTCAAACTTCAGGACACTAAGTCCCGAAATTTCAAATTCAGGATACTTAATCCTCAAGTTTGAGTGAATTGACTAATCTTTAAATACATTATAAATTATGGATATATTTTAAATAGAGGGCTTAAAAGTGGGTATTGTTGCACTTGTATTTTCTCTAAAATTTAAAAAAGAAAGAAATTTTTTTGCGACATTATTGAAAATATCCATTTTAAACGTGCAGTGCCATTTCTATAACTGTAAATGTATGTCATAACAAATAAGATAGAGTTTAAAATTAAAGAGTTGTCAAGTATAAAATGATGTCAACACATTAAAATGGAAATAGTAATAGTAATAGTGTTCATACACGAACAAAGAGCGTATTGATAAGTTCAGCTGCTGCCAACCACCAATTCTAGAAGCCCACCATTGTTGAAGCCACCAACCCATTCTAGAAGCCACCATTGTTGAAGCCTCCATTGTTGAATGAAGAATTCAACCACCAACCACCTTCTTTAAGGCTATAAATAGAGCCTTATGTTTTACACAAAAACATCAATCCAGAGAGATTGAAATACAATCCAGGAAGAGATTGTGAGAACAAAAAGAGAGTTTGGTGAGGTTTTTGTAGAGAGA